TAATTAGACCAGACGTCTTCTGGACATCCTTCTAGTGGGGTCCGAGGCATAGGCCGTTAGGGGTGATCAGGCTGTCAGGAGAGAGCAGTTAGGAGCAATCAGGCCAGAAGGAGAGAGCAGTTAGGGGCGATCAGTCAGGCAGGCAGAGTAGTTAGGGGCGATCAGGCAGGCAGGCAGGTGAGTGGTTAGGAGCCAGCAGTCGCGGATTGCAAGAGGGATGTCCCAGATTAGAAAGGGTGCAGGCTGGGCTGAACGACCACCCCTGCATGCACGAATTTTATGAACTGGACCTCTAGTTTGATTATAAGTTTCTTGCTTTTGACACTAACCAGCTACCTTATTGTAGATTGTCCCCAAGATAAACGAGGGAATTCATTGAGGAGAGGATCTCAAGAAACTCAATGAAGGGATTCTAGTGCTGGTCAGGGCTGTGAGCAATTGGGGCAGGGAACCCTCTGAGAAACCCTGGCATGGTCCCACCAGGGGAGGGGAGACTGGGGAACTTACCCACCAGTCCCTCTCCCCTTGGTTCTGCAGCCTGGAGGGATGAGGCTGACAGGGACTGGGCACACCACAGGGGCAGTGAACTCTGACAGCATTGCTCCAGCTTCCTACCTGGAAGACACACTGCGCATCTGCTAGCTCAGAGCCCTGGAGCCTCTGAATGAGGCTCCCTTCACCGCCAATCTAGAGAAGTGATCTCGGGGCCATATGGGCAGGGTGCCAGGAGCTGGCCTTGCCAGGAAGTACCCTGGAGTGGAGAAGCAGCTTGCACTCCTCCTCTGAGGACCTCGAGGACTGTACCCTGGGCTGTGTTTTCCTGGTGTGAGGCTGGCAGAGCATATGCTGCCACTGGACCAGGAGCAGCAGAAGCTGCACAGTCTCAGGAGGCCCACCCCTGCCCCACCCACTGAGGGCTTCGCTCTTAGGAATAACTGTGCTGGGCGTCATTTTGCAACATCAGCATCCAGTCCTTGGCCCTGGGACAGTCCCCTACAGTTTCTTTCCTCAAACTCAAGGCTGATGACTAACTTCCTGGTTTTGCTCTTGAAGGTGTGTTCTGCCCTCCTTGCTCCAGCCTGGTTTGTGATCCTCCTACCACTTTAAGTATTTTTCTAGAATTAGCTTTACAAACATGGGGAAGGGAGGTGGTTCTGCCTTGTGAGGGCTGCTCCATGCACTGGTGCCTGTGGGTTCCTGCTGCCTGAGGCTCAGTGAGGCTTTCTGTGAGGAGAATGTCAGCTGCAGCCACCATGACTTGTCATACACCCTGAGCAAGGAATGCTGGGAAGGTGGTATCTTCCCAAACTCAGGTTTCTGCAGGTCTCACTACTGGGAGGGGTGTTACAAATAGGGCCTCATGATTAGATATCACACTCCCCACTTCAGTGCACGATGCTGGCACACAGCTCACCGAGAAGTAACTGCCTCGTCCTAGCGGGGCCTCTGATATCGCAGTGGGCTTCCCAGGAACTCACAAGCCATAATTCCATAGGCCTCCCTGCCATTGAGAGTATATTGATTTTGAAGACTTACCTTTTCTAACTTTTGATGGAACATGGGTCCTTCCTACATATCAGTGAACTTTGTTCTCTGGAGTGTGGTTCCTCAGACATTTAACCTATGTAGTCTTTCCATCATATTTTTACTTGTCCCCAAGATTTGAAGAAAGATGTTGGGATATAATTTTTCCAAACACAGTGCTGACTCCCAGGGCCCATAGGCATTGTCTAAACTTCTCCTCCTCTGCTGAGATCTGCCTCCAGCCTCTGAGTGACCACGTTGTTGTCAGAGATTATATTTCTTCCTGGCAACAGCACGACATTCCCTGAGCTTTCATCTTTCAGGGTTCCTACAAAATTGTAGAACTGTGTCTCTTCTGCTTTTCCATTGTTGGTCATTTCCCTAGAGTTGTGGACACGGAGCAGAGTGGAAGAGGCTCTATTTATAAGTACACTAGAGTGATGGGCACTGACTTGGGTGCTCTTGGGCCAACTGGGGTATATGGCCTCCTGGTAACCAGGCTGGAACCATGTCAAGTTTTCCCCAGAAGTCCCTCCCCACACCTGGCAGGGCTAAGGAGCCAAGGTGGGCCCAGAGTTCTGTCCAGTTGGAAACAAAACAGCTAGTCTCCCCTACTTGTCTGAGAGGCTCTCCCAGGGCACTTCAGCCCTGACATGGGGTGGAAGAGCATCCCTAGTCCCTTACCACAACTCCGCTTTTCTCCTCCCAGTTTTCCTGTTACTCATGGGGACACTTCATTCAGTCCTTTGTATATTCAACAAATATTATTAATGAATTCTAATTATGGACCAGACACCATTACTGAAACAAAGTACATAGTTAATGAGACAGACAAGTGCCCTAGCCGGATGGAGTTGGCATGTAGGTGATAAGATCATATGTGCATTTTAATTTTCATCTCTCTGATGATCAGTGATGTTGAACACCTTTTCATGTGTCTATTGGCCATCTATATGTTCTCTTTGGAGAAGTTTCCATTGAGATCCTTTGCCTGTTTTTTTTTTTTTTTTAATTGTGTTGTTTGTCTTCTTGGTGTTGAGTTGTATAAGTTTTTTATATATATTTTTGAAATGAACCCCTTATCAGATGTATCAGTGACAAATATGGTTCTCCCATACAGTGGGTTTCCTTTTCATTTTTTAAAATACGTTTTTATTGATTTTTCACAGAGAGGGAGGGAGAGGAATAGAGAGTTAGAAACATCAATGAGAGAGAGACATTGATCAGCTGCCTCCCGCACACCTCCCATTGGTGATGTGCCCACAACCAAGGTACATGCCCTTGACTGGCAGCGAACCTGGGACCCTTGAGTCTGCAGGCTGACGCTCTATCTGCTGAGCCAAACCAGTTAGTGCTCA